GTGTGTGTGTGTGTGTGTGTGTGTGTGTGTGTGTGTGTGTGTGTGTGTGTGTGTGTGTGTGTGTGTGTGTGTGTGTGTGTTCTAATAATGACCATAAAGCTGCTGCACACAATGGAGTTATTCTCCTGATGAGAAGACGTGGCAACACTTCAAAGCTATGGACTGTAATTAACTTGTACATAATTAGAGCAGACCTCGCCTGGAGAGAAATGTTCTGTTTTTCTTTGACTCTGAAGTTATTTTGGTTTTAAAAAAAAGTCACAGAAAATCTATTTAAATCAGTCACATCTTCCTGGTTAGGATGCTTTTAATCCTGACAAAACAAGCAGCTCTCCTCCCTCTTCATCCAAATCTGCACACGTCACCCACCTCCTTCGTGTTTAACATCATCACCCCCCGAGCAGACCACCACCTCCTCCTCCTCCTCCTCCTCCTCCTCAGCCCCGCCCATCAGGACTCACCTGTCCTTGTGCGAGTTCAGAGCGTTGAGCAGATTGTGACAGCGGTCTTGTCTCGGCGTGTCAGAGAGCTGCAGGACAGGCGGGGAGGAAAAAAGAAATGTTTTATTTTGAAATCAACGCTGACATCATATAATAATTTTCTTTTACAGCCGCTGACAGCTGTAATGGTGATAGAAAAAAATAAAGTGTCGCTGCAGCGACACTTAACAGTTATGAGACGACGGGACCAAGAAAACATTTCAAAAAAATTAAGAAGCTCTAGATCTGTGCAGAGACGAACTGGCAGGAAAAAATTAAAAATGGGTCAAAGTGTTTTCTCAAACTAATCAATAAAAATGTATAACTCTGACCTACAGTCATATTTATGCTCTTAAACTGTCAAGAATTTACTTATTCTTCATTTAAGCAGATAGGAAACAGAAAAAAACAAATCCAACCACTTCAGGCAGACATATACAAAATAAGATTTTATTCTTATTTAATTTGCATTAAATGAAGAATTAGTGGAACATAAACAGCCTTAAGAGTGAAAAGTTTATTTTATTTTATTTTATTTTACTTGGGATCAATCCAGATGCTAATCAGAACTGTTTCTGTCAGAAAATGATGTTTAAATAATGTAGTAATAAATTAAAACATTATATTTTTAAACAAATAAACCAATTCTACTAAATTTTTAAAAATCTGATTAAAATAGGCAGAAATTAGGTTCTTAGTTTAACTTTTAGAGAAGTTAAATGATTTAAAAGCACTGAAAAGCATAAATTATTGGCTTCAAGTCAAAAGTTTTAACCAGAACCTCAAAGCAAAGGAAGGTCAGCTGTTGAACATGTGAGTTAAATAAATCCACCAACCACTGACCCACACCCCGACGCTCACTCTCCCTCTGAGCTTCCACAGAGGTCAAACATGAAGTTTTGTTTCAATGGTGCTTAATGAGCTTTAAATATGAAATGCTAAAAAGCCTGGAAGTGTTTCACATCATTTCATCATCGAGCTTGAACAGGGAGATATCAATACCGCGCCCAGAAGCAGCGAGTCCCAATTCTCATTGGTGAAGGACAGGATTTCATGGTCAAAATCAAAGTATTTCCTCTTGCAGCACAGCGAGAGGTGGTAGAGCACTAAATGAGCCAGATCCACCCTGCAGGTCAGAGACAAAGCAAGAATTAAAGGACGACACAGAAGAAGAAAAACAACCTGTAGAATATTCATTAAGATACTTTTTAACCTTAAAGGTCCTGTGACATGCATTTCCAGCAAACACAAAGCGTCAAAAATACAGCTTTTTATTTAAGAAACTTGGCATAAAACATATGATTTTATCCATTTTGTCACATAACTGGCATATTTTCTTCTAAACTAATCAGCCAAATTTAAGCAGGAAGTGACATCAAAGGGGAACTCTTTAAGAAAAAAAAGCACCCTGCTCTTTATTTACAAAAAAAATATTTGAACTCTGACTCTTCTTCATCTTTTTAGAGATTCAAAATAATCTAAAAAACATCAGATTCTTCTCTACAGTCTGTCGTTAGCTGTTGTAGCAACGCTCTGTTTACATGCAGACATTCCCCTTTGACATCACTTCCTGTTTCTTCACATGCAAATAAATCAATAACTGTTATCTCAGCAGCGTGATTTTTTTTGCAATATGTTATTAATGTTGTCTTTCTAAAAATGCATTCATATTCATTACAAAAAATATGATATCACAGGCACTTTAAAGTACACTTTGTTTAGTCTTTTTGGAGATTAACATTAATAGCAAAGTATTCTGTCATAAAACTTTGATATTGAATACTGGATTCAACTCTGTCTGTTAGTAAAATATCTTCTGACAACAGCCTGGTTAAAGATGGTCACCATGGCTGAATCGAAACAGCTTAAATTCAACCAGTTTTACAGATATTCAGCTCAGTTTGATCACATATTTGACTAAAATCTCACAATATCGCATGAGATTGTGCATATGTCGTTTCTCATCATAAAATGAGTTTCAGTTAAAACTCTGGCAACATTCTTTAAAGAACGTTCGACTCTGGAACAGTTTATCTGCAGCTAAAAAAAGGTGTTAAAACTTAAGAACTTCACCAGGTCATGGGTAGTCTCTGGATCGTCTCCGGTCCTTTTGAACAAACCGAACACTGGAACTGATAAAACCTACGACACAAACAGAGACAGAAATGTTTGCAGACGGCACAGAGATATTGACGCAGGAGGACCACAGCTCTCATCAGAACAGGAAGTGAACAAACAGCTGTTTGTTTAAAAAAAAACACAGTGAAAGCTGCTGTGTCTCTGCATCTACAGGAAGGTCACGGACAGAAACGATGCAGCAGCAGAACATGTTTACTATTCCGACCGTGAACGCAGACTTGGCTCCGCCTCCAGCACCTACTCAGCACGTGTTCCACCAATCCTGCCTCCTCCTCCCTAACTGTCAATCTCACTTAAACCCCTCCCTGTCTCCTCCCCCCTGAATGGAACAAACACAGCTAATGACTGGAACAACAGAAAAAAAAAGATGAGCAGAGCTGTGATGTTTGTCTCTCACTCTGAGAATGAAAGGAGAACATCACACCCATCGTCTCATCGTCAGATAATTAGGGAGTTTCTTTAACGACTGAAGCCGTCACGCAGACATCTTCATTCATCTTCCTCAGATCATCCTCTTGATCATAAGTAATGATCAATTTTTACAACATCCAGCTTTTTTAAAGTGCTGCTTCTTATTGTTCACAACTAAAAATTTCACTGTTTTTTTTTCTTCAATTAATATATTAAACTTACAAAACATTTTATGTTAAATCTTCATAAGAAACTGTAGTAAGTAAGCTTTCTGAGGAGTAAAGAGTAAATATTAGGGGTGCAACAATACATGTACCCGTATCGAACCGTATCAACCAGTGCTTTAGGATCAATACACACTTGTATCGAACAATACAGATATTTTACATTTATTTTATCAGCTTGTCTTCTGAAGATGCTCTGTGTTGAAGGATCAGTGGGTCTGTGTTCGACTACTCCACCTAGGCTGCATTTCTGAGCGCAGATCCACTGAGAAACTTGCTGTTTCAGCAGCATTTAATTTAAAAACTGTACTTTTGAGGTTAAACAAATGCTCATTATTAATTTAAATAAATTACAAGTTTAAAGGGGCATGGAGATTTCTATTATTTGTATCGAAAAAAATATCGAACCGTAAGACTAAATTATCAAACCGAACCGAATTGTGAATTTTCTGTATCGTTGCACAGCAAGTAAATATTTATATATATAAATACACACACACACACACACACACACATAAATATCGAACCGTAAGACTAAATTATCAAACCGAACCGAATTGTGAATTTTCTGTATCGTTGCACAGCAAGTAAATATTTATATATATAAATAC